AAAACTTCTTGTATTAAGTGTGCTATTGGAGACATGATGTACCACGCATTTTATTTCTATATTTTATTGGTTTTGTGGACAAGGGCCTTTATAGCTGCTTATTTTTTTTCCTCATTACTTTCAATTATCGTGGAAGAAAGATGTGGATGTCGTTTTTCAAAATGTAGGACTTAATAGTATATCATTTTACATTGTAACATGACTGATTTCACCATATTGCTAAATATATCGTCATTTGTGACGATATATCTACCAAACTGTGGCAAATTGTTTCTTATTTTTACGGAAGCTTCCAACAGAAAAAAAAATCGGAGTGGTTTATAAGACTTTTTTTTCGTTCTTTAGAGTCATCCGTCCATACACCCATTCTTCAAGTATGAGTTCCTGAGTTTTCCTTCTTCTGCTTTTCTTTTTTTTTGGGGGAGGGGGGGGAGATATAGAGGGGAGGGGATGACAGGGGTCCAATTTTTTTATTATTATTATAATTTGTTTACAGCTTTCTTTTGAATCAATTTACCAATTCATATCATTTCCATATTCATACACAGATTATTTGTTCTATGCTCTAGCAATGCACGTAAAGAGGTGGAAGATGGCTTAATGCTTTAAAGCATAGTTGAATGATACTTGACGCTGAAAATATTTGCACTGAAGCAACGATCGCAAGTACTAAAAGATAAGGTTAACGATACCTGAAAAAAGGATATCGCAGCTGACTTAAATGTAAACGAAATAAACATTTCTTTGCTATTTTTTTATGACCTCAGCATTATCATAATCGAGCAAAAGACTGAAGTGGATGATGGCAATCGTGACAGTCACCAAAATGATCTTCACTCGGAAAAAATTACTCGCTATTGAAATTTGGGTACAGTCAAGTATTTTCTTTGAAATTTAAAGTTGGATTCCACTCTTTTTTAAGATCATACATGTAGTAACCAGTGCTTCAGAGGCTACGCAGAAATGAAACTTCGAGGGATAAAAGACACGTGTCAGCGAATTGTGAACGGAACTGGTTTGCTACAGTTAAGAATTAGAAGCCATTACTGTATCTGAAAATATTGTACGGTGTGGTGCAGCCGGAGACTTCGCTTATACACCGAATGCAAATATGGCGTCCAATTTGAATTCCCACTGTTCTGGACTAACTAGCCTCGTCTTCACGTGGAAACACAAAAGGATTATTACATATGTGAGAGACTAGTGAGTCCAGAACAATGGCAACTCAAATTGGACGCCATATTTGCATTCGGTGTATTGTCTCAGGCAATCTATTCAATGGCAAGAAAAATGCGCTCGTAGGTTTAACAGACTCTACCATGGGGGACATCGGACAAATATCAAGGCGGATGCTGCAGGAAATGGCAGATCTATAACATTTACGTCAAGTTATAAGGTTAGGAACGGTCCTACAAAGTCTATTCCATTAAGATAACGTTCTTTCGTATTGCAACGCAAGAAGATGGTACGTAATAGGTTCCTTTTGTTTTTAACATGCAACCCTTTATCATTTATTGTATCCAGTTTCCTATCCATAAATCCTTCTGTCCATCCGATCACCCAATGGCTCTCTCAATCTCTCGATTTGAACCGCTCATCCATCAATTTGTGTTTCCTTACTCATCAATTTATTTCATTGATTGTTCTCACATTTTCTTTAAATTAATAAACCCTCTTTTGAGGGAGTATGACAAGTGCACAGGTGCTGCTTATCCGTTCTTTCCCCACAGACGAGCAGCAAAAAGGGAAGGACTTACGCAAATAGGTATTCTATTTCTATTCTTGTAAATACATCACTTTTAATTTGTGGCAGGAAATTAGTTCGTGCTTCTTGTATCATTTTTAATCATGAAACTTCTTTACGCAAAACCCTTTGGATCCCCACATTAAAAAGGAGGAGTATGTTGCTATGTTGATAAAATCAAATATCGATAGTTATTTACCGGACATGCCGACTAAAACAGTTGTGATAATTAAGAAAAGCAAATTATGAGATCAATAAGCTTTATCATTTCTTTCTGTAATTAAACCATTTTACCGTTTGCTTAGGATTTTTATGGTTAATATTATTATTACATGTATTTTTATTATTATTATTATTATTATTATTATTATTATCACTGTAGTATCGAGAGTATCAGTCTCGAACAGAGCTAAAGTAAAATGAACCACAACGCCCTGCTTGTAGTAAAAACCTTACTTTTTTAATAAAACTCTCTCCGCATTGACGTGATCCAACATGATTGATTTACGACATTACACCCCTCCTTTTTTCGGATGAGAAGAACACAAGGTGACTAACTGCATTTTAAGTGATAAACGTCCTAAGACTCTCAATAAAACAGTGTCCATCGTTCAGTAATCAAAGTTCAATAATCAACTTTCAAACTGAATTTAAACTGAGATCTCTTTCCCTTCAAACACTTCATATAATGTTAACGTTCTCAGAGAATCAGAAAAGCTCCGGTTCCAGTCTATTTCTCATAGATGATTTGTAAATAGTGTGGAAACCTGACAAGAGGTTTGATCTGTCGTTTCGATCGTCTCGGCAAGGCGTCAGCTTTCATTTCGGATGGATATTGTGTCTTTTCTTCATCTTTCCTTCCACCATTCTCTTGGCAGGGTGTAAGATGTTACGGAATAACTTTGAACTGCGATGAATTCCTCGTAACAGTCTGTGAACCATTACTCGCTGTGACCATGGTACCTTTATGTTCCTCCACGATCAATGGTTTTGGATTGTATGGAGTGCTGAGCTTGTTCTTTTTGGGTTGTCTAATGAGTACAACTTCTCATGGCTTAATCTCTCGTTCTTGAACATGCGCTTTGAGATCAGCATATACCTTCAAATTCTGCTTTTGCAGAGTATCTCTCTGGGCGATGCTAGCTGATGGATCTTAAAGTGTGCTTCGTGGCAGCTGGTGCTGGGTGATTGGTAACTCTGGTGTTGTGGTCTCGAGTTTTCTGCTGTTTAAGGCTTCACTTGGAGGCACATTGATGGTGGAGTGAGGTGTTGCACGATATTGCCGTAAGAACGTGTACAACTCTTGGTTCCAATTTTTGCCTTCTAGGTGAGCAATTCTGAGAGACTTTTGGAGGGTCTGAACCAGTCGTTCTGCTTCTCCATTTGCTCTTGGCCAATACGGGGGGATCCTTCTATGCTTCAATCCTAAGTAGTCGGAAAAGTTCTTAAATTCATGACCATTAAACGGTGGACCATTGTCACTTTTCAGGACATCAGGAATACCTTGTCTTGTGAATATCGCATCAAGTTTAGGAATCACAACTTTTGGTAATGTTGAGGTAAGTATATCTACTTCCGGAAAACGGCTGAATTCATCTGTTACTACCATGATGTAATCACCAGAGGGGAACGGTCCAGCAAGATCCACTGCGACTTCTCTCCAAGGTCAGCTAGGGAGTGACGTCATTCGAAGGGGTTCAAACGGTGGTGACTTGGTCGATGCAGCTTGATATGAAAGACAATTTTTTACCTTCTCTTCTGTTAGTTTGTCAATTCCGGGGAACCACACTTGTCTCGGATGAGTTGCTTTGTTTTGACAATCCCCTGGTGACCACCATGTGCCAGGTCTACTGCTTTACTTCTGAGGGTAAATGGTATCACAATTCTGTTTCTTATCAATACTAGTCCATTGACCACTGATAATTCTTCCTTGAGCTTCTTGTATTTCTGTACGTCTGGGACATTCCATTGGTCATTTTCCACAGCCGTGATGAAAGCTTGCATTTCTGCATCATTTCTGGTTTCATGTTTTATTTCTTCGAGTGTCAGGGCTTTTGTTACAGCATTAGAGCATACATAGTTGGCATAGTCTTCAGCCAAATTTTGTTCTTCTGGTCCTGTGGGACACGGATGTCAGCTCATGTAATCAGCAGGGTTTCGACTTTGTTGATATATCCATATAACTTGTGGGATTAAAAGGCTTTTCGAACCGATTTAACTAATTTCATTTTCATCGAATATTAATTTTTTTCTTTGTAATTAAAAGAAAAGAACAGTTAACCGCACTCTATCACTAAATGAGTCAGGATGACACGCGTTATTAATATTCACCATGCAAATAAAACAATTATGCGAGTCACACACAAACCTGTCCTCTTTCGCCGTCCAAATTTTCTCAGGGAGGTTGCGTAACAGTGGCCGCCCTTGTGCAGTACTTCTTGATGGCTGCCTCCACTTGTTTGTTGTCAAAGTTTACAATGTCGATAACAAGTTAAAAAATTGTCATGGAATCTCATGGGGTGAGGTACTCTGTTATCATGAGATTATTTGTCACCTAAAGTGATCGTACCACTGACCAAACACTCTTTGATGTTTTAGAGCTGTATTTTGATTCCAAACGAATCTTTAATTTAAACAAAAAATGGCGACTAAAACCAAAGCCAAAAAACAACAAAACAACACGAGGTCTCGAATTACGTCATTATCACATGATGTCAATCATAGGTACGTAAAGCGTACAAATTGAACTAATACAATGTAGTTATAGTCGTGACATTATTCAATAATCAGCTGCCATCCCCTCTGTTACCTATGACCCTTAGGTCCAACTAATTTTAGAGTCAACTTCTCCGAAGAAACTTTTCTTCGGTTCTTGTTCACCTCTATTTTTGTGCCTCAATGTTCCATAAGAATTCCTTGGTAAAACTTTCTCTCCGAGTTCAAGAGCACGGTCACAGGAATACACTGCATCAGCTATAATGCATGTTACACTCCTCAATAGCTCGGAATAGCGGTGTTAAAGGTAACTGTTCTACTTAAAAAAGGAAAATTATGCTCTTGGCAGATAACAACAAGTTTCGTAGGCCTTCCTGCGCTCGTTGTTGCCATATCCTTGAGTATTGCAGCCGGAAAAGATGGTATCGAAAGTTTTGTGAGTGATAATTAGATAGTAAGTTGAGTTTCTTTATACTGATTTAATGTTATCCCAATCAGATTCCCAAAGACTGATTTGACAATAGTATTCTTTGAAATTAGAAAACAAAAAACAAAAAAAAAACCACTACAGCTGAACAAAATAGATATAGAAATTCAAATTTTTTTTTCCATTTTTTGATTTCTTACTTCTTTGTATTGTTATTGTGTTTGGGAATTGAAGACATAGAAAATTCAAAGTCTTCTGATCGGTTTTGAATTGGGTTGTTTAGGGCGGTAATTATTAATAAATTCAGTCAATAATCGGAAGAAAAGGCATAATCGATCATCAAATGTGCGCCAAAACCATATTAGCACGCAAAAAGCACTTTCTTTTAAGAGTCATGTAGTCCCATTGACAATCAAAGCATCTATTTTTTGCTCAATCCTTCTCTTTCAATTTTCCCAAATCAACTGGATGTCTTCGGCCAATGGTCTGATCTGGATATTCATAGTGTTTGTTGTGCTGATTGCATTTGTAAGTGGCAATAACCAAGATGATCATTATCGAAACTAAAAAAAAGCTTTAAGTGACTCATGTTCGGTGTATTTGCTTCTTTTAAGTTCAACATTCTGATCCTCGGGTGGGTCATCAAGGCGATGGCGACTATGCAACAAGAGAAAGACAAACACAGCTAACAAATTAGGCATGGCTTAGTTCATATAAGGAAATCCGGTCTCTGGAATATTAGGTCTTGGAATCAGGTCTAGGTCTGAAAACTGCAATCTGGGAACCAAACCTCTTGGAGGTGGAATCTGAAGTCAGTAACTGTAATAAGGAGAAATCACCTTAATATACAATAATCGATACTTTATAGTGCTTTATTAGATATCGACCGGCAATCATAACACAATGATTCTAACTTTCTCGTAGACTTGGTGTGAAGGCATGTGTGGCTATGATTCCTCTGCTAGGGATCGCGTGGTTAATTTGGGTTACTGTCACCATTGCACAAAGCTTTCGACTACATCTTCACGATCTTCAACTCTACACAGGCAAGACTTTGACAAAAGTATTCAGGGTTTACTAGCTCAATGCTTTAAAAGCTGCGTTGGTTTTCGTTAAAATACTCGCATAATCGTAATAACTTGACACAAGCTCTGACTTCTCCTCAAGTCAACAGAGTTTCCTTGTCTTTCCTCTTGACTTCGTGACGAACAGCGGGGTCGGTAATGTTGTTGTTTTTTTTTACGTGTATGGTCAAAGAAAACAAGCCCTATTGGACAGGGCTCGTGCTTGGATCGAAAAGTAGCATTACAGGTCCAAATTGATCAATACATTTCCTTACTTTGTCCGGTATGGAGTTCCGCAAGTGTGCAAGAGTTCCACTTTCACTTTTGAATCCCCTTTCCATTTGGAAGGGGAAGGGGGGTGGGCGGGGAGGAAGAGAGGAAAAGACATGGATTTCTAAATCACGAGTCAGGTTACCGATTTGTCAAATTAAAATGTTTATTACACAGCATCGATTACATTTTATCTTTATTAGCTGCAGTTAACGGAATGACCTCAAATTCCTTTAAGGCTTGAGAGATTTAGCTGATATTGAATGTCCATCTATGATATAGAATAAAAAAAAGTCAAAGACAGAAAGACTTTGAGTAAAGAACTCCTTAAAGGTATTAGCGTGGTTAAGTTAACCTGCCATCAACAGATGAGAGCTCGTTTGAGAAGAAGGATTCAGGCCATCTTCCCAGCAAGGGATGATGGGACGAGCACGAAACAAAGCTTCGTAGTGCCCTCGGAAGTAGATAAGGGTGTCACAGCCATTGCCGTCCTTAGAAAAATAAACATAAAGCCACTGAAGGAAGACGAAAAGACAAAAAAACTATCTAACAAAACCTCCATGTAGTTGCCAAGCACTGACTGTATAAAGGCTAACAGTTTTAAAGTCAAACCTGAGATGATGAGGATAAATCTTGAAAGCTGGAAAAAAAATCATGAGAATAAGATCATGTGTTCCCCTAAAACTCTTTTTCGACTCGTCTAAAGCAGCGGTAAAACGCAACAGTTGTACACATCCATCTTTTTATGATATAAAATATCTGAACAAATATGTACAGCAATAACACCTACAATATCTCATTGTTAAGTGTATAAAATTTGCTTTTTAGAAATATAAATTAAATCAGATCATTAAAAGCCAGGAGTTTCCTGAAAAAATAAATTTAAAACACAAGTAAGCAACATAATAATGCAAAACTCGAGGTAAAAGTCATTTATCCTCATTAGCACAGGATATGGAAGATTATTTAATAGCAAGAATTAATGGTTAATATGTTAGCAATATGTCGCTAAAGTTTGAAAGAAAAACAATGACTGTTGATTTTTTTACGAGTTTTTATTTTCGCCCGTATCATCCGAATTAAATTTCAAAAATTCAAAAGATGCATTTCCATGGTAGCAGCTGATCGACGGAACGAAGTATCGATTACACTTCGATTCGTTTCGCATTTATCGCTACAAAACATGTTCTCAGCGTAAATTGCTGTTTATTGGAGTCCCGTAAATCAGTTTTCAATCAAATTTGAGGAGCTGCGCGAGAAATCAAGCAGAAAAGGACTGCCTGAGGAGAACAACTTCGAATTTCAAGACCACGCGGTCGATGGCGACGATTTTGCAATGGAATTACCAGACCTCTTACCTCGATTCTCCACTCTCATTTGCTAGCTAACGGTAAAAACCGCTTTATAATTCACTTCCCATCCCATCAGCGAAGTTTTCATGTTTAAATATCTCTTCCAGTAAACGAATTCTTGTTGTGTGAAAATGAGGCAAAAGCCGGTAGTTTGAGGCGTTCTTACATCAGTTACATTGTACATAGCAGCAATAGTTGAAAGTGTAATATCGTAGTACGGCATAGTCAAGCAAAATGTTGCCAGTTTTGAATCTTATTATTACTAATAATAGCTAATAACACAGTATAATATGTAAACGGACCACTGACAGAAAAGCCGCCGGTGAAACAATAGTGAGGGAAGAAAACAAGTCTCAAATCTCTACAAAAAAAGATTTTAAGCTAAAGTCAAACCTTAATTTGGTTTGTAAATGCATTGTCTTTGATTTGTGACCATAGCACCGGTTTCTATAATAGACACTAGCGTGCTTTTCCATCGTCACCTTTAAATTGCTAAGTGGAGATGGTTAGGCATTTTCAATCAATTTCTTCTGCTGCTGCTGCTGATTATGATGATGACGATGCAATTTACTTCTTAAAGTTTTTTTCTTCTTGCAAACGTACGGTTGATTAGATCTTGGCATTTTCTGTGACACTGCGCAAAATGGCATCCCACGTTCTCCGAATGTTTGATTAGTGAATTAATCCGCAGTGTGGTATTTCTTTCTGTTTTCAAAAAGGTGGAGACCACAAAAATCTTAACGTTCAGAGTGGGCTTTTAATCTTCTTTGAGAGAAATACTTTAGCTTTCCCTTTAAATGACAAAAAAAGAAAAAGGAAGGACAAAAAAAATTCGGTGGAAGCTTCGTAATTTGATCGATATAGTTCCTTAACACTATTTTCAAGGTAACTGCCCTGGCTCTGCAAAACACTATAAGGGTAATGACAGAGTTTACAGGTTCCTGGGGTTTGTGCATGCGTAGGCCATCTGCGGACTGGGCGTAGCGTAGCTGAATGAATCAGGAATCTAACGGGTAAAATCAACAAAGACCATAATGTTAGAGAATTGGAGCCCAGTTTTGATACATCCAGGAAATGTTAGGTTCGTGTAATGGGATGTCCGACTTGTTATCACCTTTTAGCTAAACAAAAAGAAAAACAAGCAAGTCTACAAAAAACATAGAAACAAACAAACACATGCTTTCCCTCTCAAAATTGTAATAGGGTAATTACAATCATTTCCTGTACTGCATATTTTGGCTGCGCAGAACATGATGTGATAATAGCAGTGAAAATAATCGTCAACGTAACAGAAAATTGGCTTTTTGTATGACCTGACCAACTTTCGATAAACACGAAAACAGTTCACTTTTGAAGACTTTTGTCTCTGTTTGTGCTCTATCATGATTACACAAAGCTTTTCTTTTTTTTTTTTTTCGATTTCCAACTAAACTCAGGTAATTTTGGAAGTAAATTCATATGTTTCTGTTTTTGTTAGGCACGGCCACGAGAGAAAAAACTTAAATCACCGAGATTAATGTTAATTTTTCAAGAGGGCGTTATGATTTTCCTCTTGCACTGTGCGAGAAACACGGAGGGATATTTTCTTACTGTTTCGTTTCATGCTGATTGTCGCTAGGTTACTTTAATTTTAAATAAAGGCTGATAGTTTCGAAAGAAACTGTTTGGGGCTGCGTCGGTGGGAGTAACGAAATAATTTGGATATATCAACAAAGTTGAAATGGTAAATTGGCCACCGTAATGATTACAAAAGCTGACGTTTCGAGCGTTAGCCCTTCGTCGGAGCGAATAGAGGAATTGTGGGTTGTGTGTGCTTTTAAAGGCAGAAAATGGAGCTACGTTATTGGTGGGTGCATGGCAACGAGAAAAACATGAATAAATTAGTGGAATGAAAAGCGTTCATTGATCCCTGTGGGATTTAGACTGCCGGTTTGAAAGATGAGCTTTTGTTCAAGATTTTTACGGCTTTCTGTGCCACCTAAGTGCAAGGAAAGACCGCAGATTGCCATATGTTGCTTAGAATGATTGGGTAAATTAAAATGTCTAGCGACTGGTTTCGATGTGTCCTTGTCATTCCTTTCCACGTCTCGAAGGTGTTCTCGGAATCGGTCACCTAGTCTTCTGCCTGTTTCGCCGATGTATATCTTTTTGCAATAAGTGCAAGTTATGCAATAGATTACATTAGCGGAGGTGCACGTGAAGTGATCGGTGATCTTAATGGATCGTTTAGGTCCCGATATTTTATCAGTGTTGTGAATGAAAGGACACGTTTTGCATCGTGCACGAGCGCATTTAAAAGTGCCTGGTTGCTCATTAGTCTGAAAAGAACTTCTGACCAAAAAATTGCCTAAGTTTTTGTCGCGTTTGAATGAAATGAGCGGAGGCTGCGAAAAGATAGTGC